CCCCAGCTTGGCTCTTACCAACCTGAGACACTCCAGGTGGTGTCCTGTCCAGCTCCTGGCAACTGGTGTTGTCACAGGATGCCAGCCAGAGCTTTCCAGGTTGCCAAGAGCCAGGAGCGGAGATGTATATGGAAAGAAACAAAAAGTCAGCGGTCTCCATGGGTTGGTGAACCTTTGCTGAGCCACGGAGTGCCCCCCCCCCCTTCTAGTGGCACCTAGAGCATGTGCTGTTCCCTGGATACCCCAGTGGTGACAGGTCCTCTTTATGAAGACATCAGAGGTCTATTAGACTCCGATTATCACCTATAGACCCCAAAGAAGCTCAAACCAGCAGCCGGAGAGATGACACTAAAACCAGAAGCGGCACACTACCGATTCAGTGATTGGAGGGGAGTCCAGTGGCTGGAAGTGTGCCGGTCTCCCACCGATTAAGCCGCCGGCATCCACAGTGCCGGACCCACACGAAGGGAAGTGGAGTCAGCGAGCGGCGACGGCAGGGAGGGTTCACCAGCGATCAGGAGACTCTACAGCAGGGGTGGGCAACTCCGACCCTCCATGCGTTGTAGAACTACAAATCCCATGAGGCATTGCAAGATTCTCACAGCCACGACTCCCAGAGACAGATGCATGATGGGACTTGTAGTTTCCCCACAGCTGGAGATTGCTTAGCCCGCCTCTATAGCCTCCTGAACACTTGTACGAGACAGCCAGCCCCTGCTGAAGAGACGGGTACCAACATGACAGCTGCAGCAGCCGTGCACTTGGTAGAACAGCTTCCGGACCAGCTGGAGTTTGGGAATAAACATGGGGGGGGTATGAACTCCAGCGGTTGTGAAACTACAAATCCCATGAGGCTTTGCAAGATTCTCACAGCCACGACTCCCAGAGACAGAAACACGATGGGACTTGTAGTTTCCCCGCAGCTGGAGGACCGGAGCTTGACCACCTCTGGTATGGGCCGCGTATGCGGAGGAGCAGAACAACCTACAGATCGGCTTCAGACGCACGCACATCAGATCGAGGCCTTCACAGCACAATCGGGACCCCTGGAGTCGCATCTCTCCGCCATCACCCGATCCCGGCATTGATGACACTGGCCCAAAGAGCTGACACTCGGGCTGGATTGGCATGATAATGCACCAAAACACCTCGTGATAAGACGCGTGTCAAGGAACACGTAAACACCTCGTGATGCGCACTGATGTCGGGATGCGTGCTGACATTCAATACAAAGCGCACTGAAAGCACGACGCTCGGTAACGCAGGTTGACGTGCGTTTTGAGGCATTGCCATACATTTTAATGAGGTGAATCCAACCTTTATAAAGGACCTTTCCTGGCAAAGGTGAGCGTTGTGCCAATACCATGCCCCCCCTCCCCCCCTCAGACATGGTGGTGGCAC